CTGCAGAGTTATATGCTTGCAGGATTGAAGGGGCGGATTAGAGCATTATAAACTAAAGGTACCACCGCTTTTCTAAGTGGTAACAATTGTGAAACAAGTTCTGTCTGTGCTGTCCTTTCATAAGATGACCTTTCCTTCATGGTTAAAACATCATTAATAGATAAATAATAAGTTTGCTGTTGTAGATTATTCAGCCCCTGTCACTTTTTAGATTGATTTATTTTTATTTTATGTGTATAAGTGTATTGCCTGTATGTATGTAATCATGAGCATGCCTGATGCTGATGGGGGCCATCAGATTCCTTTGAACCAGAACTGAAATCAGATTCTCTGCAAGAGCAACAAGTGCTCTTAACTGCTGAACAATGTCTCCAGCCCCTTGCCATTCTTGTGGGTTGAAAAAACAGGCATATTAACTCTTCTCCCAAGAAAATGGGTCTAGAGCAACTACTGGTAGGCTCTTACTCAGATTCCAGGTTTACTCCCTTCCCCTGTTGGAGCTCAAAACCAGCTCTCTTGTCTCAGCAGCCTCCATTCCAAAGATGACTGCATCTCAAATGAACAATATAAAAATGATGTTGCAATTAAATTTGAAGGGTAATGAGAAAATCATGGAGTAACAGCAAGACATCCCCTCCCTATTCTTACATCATGACTAGAACATCCTGTTAGCAACCAGGATTACTAGCACTCTGGGGTCCATTGAACACTACTGCTCAAAGTTGCTGGCAAATGACAACCATTCAGTGATTTCCAATGGGTAGGCTGAGTCTGCAGCAACTGCCTATGAACATGAAAAAGAGTCTCTACTTCCAGGACCAGCCCTCTTTGAGCAAGAAGCTCTAAATTAATCTACAGCTGAAATCCTGAGTATGGAGCAGGTCACCGAATACCTGCAAGCCTAACGGGAAACACCTTCTCAAACCTAGCATCACTCCTAAACTGTCAAAATTCAATCGTAGAGGGACAAACTCAGACTGGGCAAGAAGAGTGTCCATCTGAAATCCCTGAGCCACAAATGTAGGTGGGTATGTGTGGCAGTTTGGGAAAAAAAATAGCCCCTCAAAGAAGAGGCATTATTAGGAGGTGTGACTTTGTTGGTGTGGGTGTGGCCTTGCTGGAGGAAGTTTTTCATTGTGGAGGTGAGCTTGGAGGTCTCTTTTGCTCAAGTTTTACTCGGTGTAACACTCACGCCATTTCCTGTTGCCTTCAAGTCAAGATGTAGGATTCTCAGTACTTTTCTAGCCCCATATCTTGGTGGGGTCACAGACAAGAATCTTAGTTACCATCATGCTCTGCGTTTGAGAAGATTCTAGTGCTCATGCAATTTTTTAGTGTGTGATTTTTTTCCTGAGTAATATTCAGGAAAGCTATGCTACAGAAGGCTTTGTAATCTACTGCTGTTGGAAGCAATGGTCTGTTTGTAAATGTATATAACTATTTGGTCTATAATATCGTTAAGTTCACTGTTTCCATGTTGATCTAATTGTTTTTAGAGATATTGGTTTGTTTTATCTATGCATTATTAAAAATGAGTTATTGGTATCTTCAAATATTTTTGTATCCCTGTAAAATTTTCCATGCAGTTCTGTCAATATTTGTGGAATAGTAAATACGCTAATGCTCAGAACACACTTATTTATATTGAATTCTCTTGATAGAATTGTCAATGACATTAATGTTGTTACATAGTTACTGACTTGAAGGCTATCTTGTAAATACACAGTCAGACTAATACAGAAATAGTATATACATTACCTGTCTCTTTATTACAAAAGTTAAAAGCAAAAGTATTTTAAAATATAGTTCCAATAAATTTATAAGCAAATTTGTGATATATAATATCAAGAGCATAAAAGACAGAGGAGAGAAGTAAAGTCTGAAGTTTTGCATGTCCCTGAATTTATTATTTGCTTAAAATAGAATGTTATATGTGTGCTTTATGTCAGTCTTATGATTAAAGGAAAAATTTTCTGTATTATATGCATAAAAGATCAGAACAAAGGTATCAAAACATTCTACTATAAATTTTAGCAAATCATAAAGGAAGATGGAAATATTGGAAAAAACAAAGGAATTACAAAATAAAATGTCAACAAGAAGTCCTTATAACTCAATCATTAGTTTAAATGAAAGATAATAAATTTTCTAATCAAATGATGCACAGTGCCTGCAATTAAAAATGATCACCATGCTTTATTATTTCTTCAAAATAAAAAAAATATGTTGCATATAAGGGATCATTGTAGCAGAACTGCTGAGTCCACCAGGCTCCAATGAATAGGTCCAGAGGATCACATAACAAAAAAATAGATATGTGAAGGAGAATTGTGGGGAGGATAGTGTGTGGCTAGAGGGGACAGTATGTGTTGCGTACATGTGTGAAATTGTCTAGAAACAATTTAATATTAACAATAAAAATAGACCTTTAAAGTTTGGACCCTTAGCAGCATTTTATAACCTCAAACCCATAGCCCAAAGTTGCTATGAAGACTCTGGTTTGTGGAGAGGTACTAAGTTATTGCTGCTATAGCTGCTAGCAAGGAGACTGTGTGTATATGTGTGTGTGTGTGATATGCACATGTCTATATCATATTCACATGTGAGTGTCATATGCACATGGGTTGATGGGTGTTGCACGTGCACATGTGTGTATGTGGCATAGCACAAATATGTGGCTGGCATATGCACATGTCTCTGGGTACACACATAGAGGCCAAGGGAGCACACTGGGTATCCTGTTTTATGATTTTGTCTTATTTAAGATAGGATCTCTTACTAAACCTGGGCCCAGGTGGAAGCCAGTGAGCACCTCCCATTTCTGTTCCCCACTACAGCACTGGGGTAGCAGGAACACACCCCCAGCTTTTTATGTTAGTGCTGAGATTCAAACTCAGATCCTCATGCCTGTGCAGCAAGCGCTGTTATCCCCTAGAACATCTCTTCAGACTACAGGAGCTCTTCTTCTACCATCTTGCTGACACCACTCTTTCTACTTCTCAACACTTAAATTTCCTACTTAATGAATACAACTATTTTGGAGATTAAGTTAGAAATTAACATTTCAAATGCACTTAATGCAAAGTGCTAATTAGCAGGGAAGAACTGGAGTATAACTTTTTAACAAGCACATTTTGTATATGAGAAAGATATATTTTCTGAGCTAAAAGATGGAAATATTTAAAAAAAAGTCTTCTAAGACGCTTTTTCACCTTTTCTAGTAGGCACAATTGTCCTCTCAGTGCCATAGTTTTGAAACGTGTTTTAATGAAGTCATCATAGTATAACAAGCTGAGGGACTCGTGGGGCTGTAATTATCTGGTTTGTTTTGAATCACTGTCTGTAGTTACTCTAGTGTTTTAATAAGGTCTACAAGGATTAGAAACAGTGAACACATGAGTTATGAAACTGATTTCCAACCTAAACAAAAGAAGGAAAAGAGCCAACTCATGAAAAAAACTAGGCTATCACTACAAAATTAAGAAATATTATTTAGCAACACACCCAGTTTAGTTATAAAGACCAAGAAAGGCAGGTTTCAACTAAGAAAGTTTCCCTCGGCAGATACTTCATCATTTACTATAGCTAGCAAAGAAGAGAGATGTGTCATTGCAATATTTTGAAGTGTCATAGGTAGTAAAAAAAATGTGATCATTAAGCATAGCTATTTCAGGAAGGAAAGTTATCCCCCCTCCCAGAAATTTTCATGTACATATATTAAAGAAATTTTATTATTGGTATATGATATTACCAAAATATTTTACATTTAGCATTATAAACTGCTACTGAGTTCTTGGCTACTTTTCTGGCATTAAACTATAAAGATGCCTTTAAGAATCTGAATTCAGTAAAGATAAAAATATCAAAGGAAGAAAGAATCTTCATTTAGGTGGAGAGGCAAATCCCAAGTCTCATGTATACAGTAAAGCAGTTTCCCCTACCCTTCCCTTGGTGACAGCATACTCCTGAAAGTAAGCTATCTTGTACTGTATCCCAACAAAGTACTCTATTAAAGATGCAGAGGAAAGGTGCTAATTATGGATCCAAGGTAAAGCAACACTGAGGCCTAGGTTCATGTTTTCCAATATGTAGTCAAAGGGGCAGGGCCCTTCCAACTAATAAGTATATGGTGAGAATTACTTTCCACAACATTAAAATATCTCTGTCTCTGCCCAACTTCTTTTTCTGCAGCTCTGTACAGTTCCTTCATCCTTCCCATACAATTTTTATTTCTGAGATCAGAGTGTCTTGACCAGCTCCTGTATTTCATTGCTTTGACAGCTATACTTCTGGTCATGACTTAGCCACATCATTTCTTTGAATCCGATAGCCTTCAGGCACCCACGCCCTGACACAAAGGCAGCCACACCCTGCTGAAACTTGCAGGGCTCTCCAGGTGGAAGGTTCCAGCACAGTGCCAGTGGAGTCAGTGTGTCTGCAACACTGTATGCCAAGTGACTTCAGAGTCCACCACCCAATAGATCTACCTAAAAGTATGTCTGCTCACATGATGAATAAAAGGTATTGGGGGAGGTCTAAAAACATGGCATCCAGGACAATTCTCAAAACTATTCTAAAGTCCCCTGGCTACCACCTGCCTGAACCTAAGTAGTGTCCAACTGGCTAAGTGAGGGCTTTGGAGAGCTGAGTGTGAAGAGCCTTTACATCATCTCTTCCTCTTAGGTCAAAAGCCCAATGAGTGTCTTGAAAAGAAGTATGGGGGCTTTATATCACTTTTTCACTTAGAATTTAAAATGTAAATTTAAAATTACCATGAGATTAATGAATCCCATTCAATGGAAAACTAGTTGTCTATTCTCAGCTTCAACAGTAAAACTGGGAATGTCAGAGACATAAAAATAGTTACCAAGTTCCTTATATATATGGGGTCAATTTTTCCTTGGGACATAATGAGTTAAAAAGTAATGATTATTTACTAGACTAAATAAAACATGGGGGGTTGCTTGTTACTTGAAATTAAACACTATAACAAGTATATATTTAGGTTAGGTTGACTTTTATTATCCTTAAAGAACTGTTTGTAACATTTTACAAATCTTCAGACTGTTCAAGAAATACAGTAACATCAATAAATATGCCAAAACATGAGATTTCTCTAATGAAATGATACAAAGAAGAAGAAGAAAAACAAAAAAGGAAAGAAAGAAAAACACCTGAGAACATGAGGGCAAGATGTCAACTCTAGATCTGAGTGGAAACCAAGTGGTGTCTGTCTGTGATGTCAGCACACAACAATGAGCAACTCAAGTCATAGCAATTAGTATGTAGTTTTGAGCTTTACCTTTCTGGGAAGTTTGGAAGGGCAATATTTGACCCCAAAATCTCTAAAACCCTATAATAAATATGGATAGCAGAGAATCCAAATAGATAGAAAGTAGCCTGACAGTAATTGCCATTGCAAAGCAGGGCTCTTATTCCTCAGTATTTGTGATCTTTGTGGAACGCTGCCAACTATAAAAGGGCATGGTCCCTATTCAACAGCAGAAAGTCATAAAAATGGATTTTTATAAAGTTTCAAGGTCATATGTATTCAAAACTGCATACAGCTGTGCTTTAGTAAAGAAATCCATCAATTAAGTGATAGCTTTGCCTTCGAGATATACCCAAACTATGTACAAAGGCTCCACAAATGTCAGCAATTTGTAACCAAAATTCTCTAGTTTACATATGCAAAAGTCTGCATTGGCTTTCAATTTAAAAATTTAAGAAAGTAGTGAATAGTGTTGGTCTCTCACTTGGGTTAAGAAAAAGTAGATGGCTTCGGTTTTTTTAACAGGAAACTGTGAACGGCTCACAAATGAGAAGTCACATTCTTCTGATTAGAAAAGATAAATTGCCTAAAATTCCCGATCAAAAACAGCACATGCAGTGCTTTTTTTAAAAAGTTATTTTGTGAAATTAAAGTCCTACAAAAGCCCTTAGGATTCATCATCTCATTTCCCTTAGACAAAAATGAGTGAAGTCACTGGCATATTTGGGCGATATACTCATATGTTTATATGTGTATTTCTTTGCCCAGTTGAGACACGAAACCTTTTTAAAGGTGAAGATATACACTTAAAGTGTTAAGGAGGTGCAGCACTTTACTATATAGCTCCTAACCTCATTCCAATAGAAACAATTTATCATTTTCTCGTGGATTCAAAAAACAGTACACAAAAGAAAATGTCACATGCAAAATTCATTGTTCCAACGTGAAACACTTGGGCTATATAGTTTTTAATAACTGCACATCTGTTTAATTTGGCTAACAAAATGTACATTGAAAAAAGATGTTATTTATCCTCCTAATGCAAGTCCGAGTCAAAGGCACTTCCGCAGAGCACTAACTCTTAACTTCTCCAAGTCATTCCATACTATTTATGATCTATTTCTGTATGAGGCCAATAAAGAGCCCCCCTCTAAATGTGAGCCTTGTCACTCTATCCCCAATAGCAAGCCTATGTGTTACCCAAACACATATAAAGGGGAGTAATATACAAGAAACATAGGCAAAGGTCTTTGCATTCTTTGGGTTAATTCACAAAGCCAGGAGAGTTCCAATGGGTAAGATATTTCAGAAGGGATTACAGGAAACACTGGCTGAAGTCTCTTGTCTTGGGGTGGGGTACTGTTGTCTTCCATCATACAACTATCTACAATTTTACAAAGTTAGGGTGTCTTAGTTTCCTTTAGCTTGATTCTCCTCTGCTGCTTGTGTATTGAATGGTAGGGGTGAGAAGAAGAATCATTTATTCTCCTCAAAAGGAAAGGGAGAGCTGCTGTACAAATGCGTCCTCGTGAAAATTATTAGGTAAAACAGGATGGGTTGGTTGGATCAAGGACATTTTATTTTAGAAGAATTGAGAACACATAACTGAAAACAGCTCCTGAATTCACACTGAGGGATGGACAGGGATAAATGCCTGAAACTGACCTGTGTGGCTATATGGGCTCAGGTGACAAGGAAAGCTCCCTCTTGAAATCCAGAATGTTTTCCTCCAACATCTTCTAAAAGTGTCAACATCAAGTGTCAACTCATACCCTGGAGATTTTTTAATATCAAAATGGTCTTTCCTCTCCTGCCAAATTACATGGAATATTCATTTTCTTTATCTCCACAGTCTAGTATTCTTTTGACATCCACAAGAAATTGTTGTATTTTTAATCAAGATTAATTGGGGTTATGACAAAAGAGTATTAAAAATAGATTTTAGCCTATATGGGTTAGTGATCCTTAAAGCAAACCAGAGCCTCCTCTCACCTGGCAACTAAGGTCACTTTATTTGAAAACAAAAAGACAATATCAGAATTTTCATTTCTGGAATTCTACATGAGTGATTGCCTTATTTGTTCTACAAACCTATATCCCCCAAATAACCAGAGTTGAGTCTCCTCTAATGAACTGGGGCCTTCCTGCCTGTGTTATAGGGGCACAGGATTTACTATGGTGCTGACAACCCACAAGTCATCAATCTTAAGAAAGAAAGTGCCGTTTGATCTTTAACATTCGCCCAAACATTTGTTGAGTTTTTTTTAAAATATAGTCAGGAAAAGACATCACAGTTACACTGCAGGAGGATGAGGCCGTAAGAAGATGTTCCATGATACCAAGGCAGAGGCAAGATTTTAGAGAGCAGCTATAGCACACATTTCACTGTTGGATTCTTAAGAGTCGGTACAATTGGCAAACTGAGCAACATTTTCAGATAACATCTTTATATTATTTTACATTTTTAAAACTTGGATATCTTCATCACTCAAAGGCAGATGCAAAGAACAGACCACAGAAAGCATTTCTGATTTTTGAATTATTGTTTTACCATCTACCTTGCTTGAGATGTGTCTAAGACCCGTGAGATTGCTCAGTCTCAGTCTCCCAAGAAGTTCATACTGCAATTTACAAGAAGCAAGAATACACACCATGAAACGACAGAGATACATGGCTCTCACAATTAGTTGAGGGGAATCAGTGGACGTTCCTCTCGTTTTTTCCAGATGTTAGTCTTGCTATCTCTTTTGGCTAGTGGTGGTGGTCGGCCTCTTTTTTTAGTGGGAGATGTGTTGGCTTCAAAATCTTCCACAGTGCTTTTCCTTCCTGGAGACTCTTCCCCAGGGTGCTCTATAATAACGCCGCTGCCTCCATCTAAGATGTGCCTCAACGCAGGATCCTCGGGGGAGCAGACCGTGGTTCCGCTCTCACTGCTGCTCAGGTCTAAATCTTCCAGGTAAAGGATCTTGGGCTGATGCATGCTTTTGATGAATGTTTTCTCCCTCTCCAGCTTTCTGCTTGAATGGAGCTCATTCATATCCACCCCAGAGTCTAGACTTGTGTCATTGCTCTGGGTTCTCTTGCCTTTTTTCAGGTCTATAAAGGAGTGTCTCACTTGTGCCACAGGCTTTCCATCAAGAGACACAAACCACGCCCTGGGGTGGGGAGAGGGTTTGCCTTTGGACAGCTCTAGGAGGGTCTGCTCTGAAATGCCTTGGAGTTCTGATGAAAAAGGAGTCATCACAACAGCTTCGTTTAGAGTTCCGGGAACAGACACGGACTCCAACAAGCTGTTGGAATAGCGGCTCCAATCCGAAGTCTGGGATGGCAAGCTCTGCTGACCTTCAAGTACAATGTCCTCTTCTCCAGCATCTGGGGCCTGGACGTGAGAATGCATTGGCATTTTGGGCAATGTTTGCGTAAAGTTCTCTCTGTTTACTGGTTCCATCAATTGGCCATAGACTAACTGTCCCTTTCGTGGCAAAGTGGCGGACTTAGCAGCATGTAACTGCTCCGGTGTGGAGAAAAGGTCTGACGTCTGAAGGATGGCAATGGGCTGGCTGTAGATGTGCATAAGCTGCTCAGGAATGTGGGACCGCCCATATACCTCCTCACTTCCTGTGAGATACCTCTTTTCCTCTTGAGTGCCACCTCGCGACGGAGAGAGGTTGTTGCTAATATGCTTAGGTTGTTTGCTTCCTATACTTGACTCCAACGACTGTGTTGGATTTCTTGAGTAGTTATTGTGATTGACTGACAGAAAGGAAACATCTTCATTGTAGACTTTAAAATTGTCCCGAGTTTTCACCATGGAAATTCTTTCTTCCCCTTCCATCTTTGTGGTTTCCTTTTTCTGTGGGCTGTAGGATGAGGTTTGGGCATTAAATAACTGCGCCTTGTCCTCGGCTTTTAATGCAACTTTGACTGAACTGATATGATTTATGTGTGTTGTTGATGTTGTCTGGTCCCTCTTGAGAATCTCAAGTTTAGTGACATTTCTTTCTCTTTTCTGTGGTGTTCCACACTTACCCCTAGAGTAGAAAAAGCAAAAAGAAAAGGATACTTACAAGTTACAATCTATAATATTCACCAAAGAAAAGTATACCAAAACATACAAATATAATTCTAATAATGTCACTAGAAAACATTTGTTTTGATTTTCAATCTACATATATTAAAGGATAAATGATTCTTTGTAATTTTTAAAATCTTACTTATGTGTATGGATGTGTATGTCAGAGCCCCTAGTGTTGGAGTTACAGACAGATATGAGTGCCTAGCACAGAACTCAGATTCTTTGGAAAAGCAAGTGGTTTTTGTTTTGTTTGTTTCTTGTTTTTTTTAATAGATTCTTTTTGCATACAGTACACTCCTCCACAGTTTCCCCTCTTTCCACTCCTCCCAGCTCCTCCCCACTTCCCCTCTCCCCCAAACCTATTCCCTTTCTCTTTCCCTTCATAAAAGAGCAATTGATTGAACCAGCAAGAATAGGTCTTCTATGTTAGGATTTAAATTTCCCCACCTAGGATTGTTACCAACCTTTAGTGACAAATACATTTGAAAGAAAGATACCTCTACACTTCCATTTGACTGTTGTGAGATTATTAAAAAAATGAACTCCAAAGAATTAAAATTTCCCAAGTAATCCCTCCCAAGGGATGAAAAGGAACTTATTAGCCAGGAGGAGATTTCACAGAGTTCTGACAACTTACTGGACCATCTCACAGAATAGTGCAGAACTGAGACAATGGTGGATCAGTGATCAGCAGGAGCGCCCGTGGATAGGACTGTTTAGATAGAGGACATTCCTTTGCATCTCTCTATATAAGTGTAAACCTTACCTCAGTACCTCTGTAGGAATATGGGATGCCTAGACCTTGTCATTTGTCCTTCTCCCCAGTGTTGCATTATTGAATAAGTCACTTTTCTCTACTTCTCAAAAAAAAAAAGCAGGCTCCAAGAGACAACCACCAAACACAACAAAAAAGATACAATAAGATAAGGCAAAAGACCTCATACAGAGGCTGGACGCAATGGAGGAAAAAAATCCCAAGAGCAGGCAAAAGAAAGAGACACACCCACTTCCACTGTTAGGAGATCCACAAAACCACTAAGCTAACAGCTGTAATATCTATGCAGAGGATGTGGTATGGACCTTTGAGGGCCCCATGCAAGTGTTATTAACCACTAAGCCATCTCTCCAGCCCCTAATAATGATTTCTATTAGTAAACTTTATAGTGCACACAATATACTATAGTTATAATATGACAACTCTGTCTATACACATTGATTAGTGCTGTTCTTACCTGCAATAACAAAGCAGCACAGCAAAAAATCCAATGATGATAACTATTGTTCCCCCTAATATGGCTGTAAGGAACACTGTGTGGTAGGCAGTTATGTCTTTGGAATCTTCACTTATACTTGAACCTGCATGATTCAATGTAAACACAGAAAAACGTATTATTTGGGGTTAGACTTTTAGTTTTGTTTTATCCTGGATAAGGTAAACTGAGTATGTATGTCGGCTTCTGCTGGTTTGCATCATTCCTGTGGTAGACTCTGTGACTGAATTACAACTTTCATGCCCTGTGGGACTAATCAACTGACTTGCTTTGATCAATGAATTTGGAATATTTAAAATGAGGTTGCATGACTATGGGAATAGCTTTTTCCAAAATACCACTTGACTTCAGAAACTGAACCTTTTGCCTAATGTTGCATCCTAATTCATTCAGATCATTTAAAAGTATGCATTCAGTTTGTTTCCTTGCTGTGTGTTTTGTCTACCTAGTTTAACTTTACTTTAAGAAAGCAACGTAACCTCACTATGCCTTGGAATTCCCACCTAATTCACTTTTACAAAATAAACTGAATGCATAGCTTTAATCTCACATCATTTTCCCCTCTCTCTTTTGTGACTTTTCCATGGCCCTTACTCAGAATAATGTATATGCATTGTGGTATTCTTTTTTGGAAAGAGTCAGTATGTCGAAAGCAACCTTAAAGAAAACAAACTTTCACCATAAATATTGGAAGCGACAGATGGATATGGGTTGATAACATCTATTTGCAGTTTTGAGTGCTACTTGGGGACCAGTAAATTCTTCCCTTGTAATGCTGGTAAAAAAAAATCCAAGTTCACTTCCTATACCATATTTTCTTTGCTATTCCTTAAATATAGAACAAAGCCCTTTGTTAGAAGCAGACAGAAGACACAAGGAGAGAAGTACAGAATTCAGATTTGAGATCACTCTTGGTTTAAACTACTCCAAGAGGAAGAGCCTTTTCTTTAATGTGGCACCAGTGCATGTGATATGGTTTGGCCATCTTGTTAAGGCACTCTAACATGGCAAGAGTATGTCCCAGAATGTCACTATGCCTGCCACATGAGTTCTGAAGTAAGAAAACATGTTGAGTTGAACCATGTCAAGCCCAACAGCAGAGCAGTCAACCCCAAACACACATACTTAAAAGGTAAATAGATAACATAGAGCCTAAAACGATTGATTGCTGCACAACTGCTTGCTCTTGCAGAACCGGAGTCTGGCTGCTGGGCTACTGAGAAAACAAAACCCTAAAGTATGTGGCCCTGGCTTCCAAGCCTGAAAGTGAATCTTGAAGAGAATTGTTTAAGGGAGCTGTAAAACTGGAAACTCAAATTATGTGGAAGAAAAATATAGAATTATGGGGTTCTTATCCAATTTGAATTAGAGTAATGGCCAGGCTGACAAAACCCATCTAGCCTCCAGCATATGAAAAGATGTTACTGTGTTCAGGAAGGTTTTGTGGGTCTTTTGATTTTTTTGTTGGGGGGTTGTTTGTTAGTTTGTTTATTTGGTATTTGTTGTTTTGTTTTGTTTCAGCTTTATTAAGACGTGGTCTCATTATGTAGCTTAGGCTGTTCTGGAACTCTCTGTGTAGACCAGGCTGGTTTCAAACTCACAGAGATCTGCCTGCCTCTGCCTCCTGAGTTCTGGGACTAAAGGTATGCATCATTATGCCCAGTTATACTCAGGAAAACTTAATAGCTTAAATAAAAAACTTTTAAAATCTTTGATACATTTACTGGATGAGATAAATGTGGGGTTTCCTTAGGTTCTGATCCCCACATAATTTGATACCATGTTAAATACTTTGTGTTAGAACAGCATGGATCATCCCTAGTGAAGAATCCATGATGTGTGGCCACCAGTTTCCAGCCACCATCTGTTCAAACTGTCAGGTCAATGATCACCCTATGCACTATCTATCTGATCTTTCAAAACAACCTGGAGACATCATTATCAATAGCCTTTCCTCTCATGTCCCCCAGAGTCTTCCTCCTCAGAAAGATCAGGCACTGTGTGAGGAAAGACTGGAAAGGATGAGAGTCGGTGGTGGCCACCTGGTGAAGAGTTGACCAAGCTCTTGTCAGGTCTCTGGAGCTGCAGAAACGTCTGGCTTCCCCAGGATCCTGTAAACTATACACATACTCTTCATCCTTTACAAAATTACTCAAAATATCCCTGATAACCCTGTTGCTTATAGCCAGAGGCTCTAACTGTGTTGAGTAGAATTTATTCATGAAAATGTAAACTTAGAAAATATTGGAACAGCCGGGTAGTGGTGGCCCACACCTTTACTCCCAGCGCTTGAGAGGTAGAAATGGGTGGATCTCTGTGAGTTCGAACAGCTAGGTAGAGCGGTGACACAGAGAAACCCTCTCTTGAGAAAAAGAAAAGAAAATACTGGAACAAACCTGTCTTCATAGATTCACTGAGAGTTCATGGGGCTTAAGCCTTTGGTTGTGTGTACCAGATAAAAGGGGTGGGGGTATCCAGTTTTGTTCACCGGCTACATGGCAATGCTTAGCCTAAGCTGGAGGCCAGGTGATATCAACCCCAGCATGCTATGTGCATTATTCTTTAAAATTACTTCGTTTCATTTTTACAGTACCTCGAGCTCCTGGAAATGGAGCTGCAATCCAGTAGCCCAAATGTGGCGCATCGTAGGTCCAAATCAAATGACTGTTGTGCTCCTTGACGATTCCCCAGCCATGATGCACCCAAGCACCTGAAACATGTGGTAAGTGAAAAACAAGTTAGGTATAGTTCTAAATCTTAGAGCTAAGGTATGAAAACAGAGTTTTCTGGTAGTCATGTAAAGAATTCAGAACAACTCAGAAATTACAAATACCATGAAAGTAAATATCTAGGAATGGTAAATACTAAATATTACATCATACTTGATATAATACCTGCATGATAACATAATGGAAATGAGTTGTCATGACTAGAGAAGATAAATTCATTATAACAAAACTCAACTTATGTACCCAAAACTGTGAGGAATAAAATTCTAATTGAAAGGCTAGCTAAGAAGCAAAGTTCTTGAATCCCAGAGTTCAGTCTCTAACACCAGACATGTAACAAGAGAGAAATAAATCCCAGTTCATCAACTGGTAACTATTTGTCACTTGTCCTGAGATTATGATTAAACACATACAGCATATGTTTTGTGGCCTTATCACTTTAAGACTCATTGTCCTAATGCTACTGATAGTTTTTCCAGAACTCTTTCTTTTCTATCCCAGAGCTGCATTCATGAATGAGTCAGGCTTTACATGCAGTTTTCGTATGAAGAGTCAGAACTTAAAGCAGTTGACCACAGGTGTGGTGCCGTAACTGGGAAGCAAGGCTTGACCTGGTCTTCTTTGCCACCGAGAATGGAGTCAGGAGATCCAGGAGGAAATGATTACATGGCCAGAGTAGAATGCAGACCACTGTAGCACCTGCAACTAGGTGAGCTTGGAGTTCATGGGCCCCCCTCAAGTATCATTTAGAGACCAGTGTCTTCCCACAATATGCACCTCATCCAGCCCACACAAGGCATACACAGTCTCATGCTCAATTTTGAAAAGCTCAAACTGTCTCTTAACTTTAAAAAAGGTTGTCTGCTCCATTGAAGTTGTATCATCTATAGTAAAATATATTCTGTAAAAACCTAAATCTTTGATAAAATTTTATGCACTAATAGCCAACAAAGGTATGTAAAAGCTTAGTGTGTATTGGTATTTTGGCTTATTATCTACAAAATGTAAAATGGGCTATATTACTTTTATCCTTAACTTATACATTTGTACATATTTATGGCATACAGTAGAATTTCACATATATTCACAATATGCATTTGTGAATTTCCATCGCCTTATACATACATCAATAACATTTATAGGATGTGAACCTCTGAACCCATCTACTTATCTAGAAACATATTAGAATTTATTTCAGATAATTTACCCCCATTATGCTATGGAGCACTAAAACTAATCCCTCCTGACTGTTTTTGTACCCCTCAGCCCTGTGTTTATTGGAGCATTGTTTACAATAGCCAAGATATGGAGCCAACCAAAATGTCTGCCAGTGGATGAACAGGTAAATAAAATGTATCTGTGCAATTTAATTTGGTCAGTCCAATAAATTTCAGCAATATTGATCAAACAGTGAATAATGAAGTAGGGAAACCTGAGGTGACAAAACGTCCCAATCTGTCACTTTTAGTTTAAGTTAAATTTAACCTAGCATATGATAAATTAATTAAAATTTTTATATTTTTATTTTTTTATTTTTTTGGTTTTTTCGAGACAGGGTTTCTCTGTGGCTTTGGAGGTTGTCCTGGAACTCGCTCTGTAGACCAGGCTGGCCTCGAACTCATACTGTAGACTCGCTCTGTAGACCACGCTGGGAAAACCTGCAGAAACCGCTGATCTGAGAAAGTGGGAACTCATGGACCCCAGCCTGACAGCTGAGGAACCATCATTGAACCAAACCAGGCCCCCTGAACACGGGTGTCAGCTTGGAGCACCGGGAAGTCTATGGGGCCTCTGGCAGTGGAATCAGGATATATCCCTAGTGCTTGAACAGACTTCAGGAGTCATTTCCCATGGAGAGATACTCTCTTAGCCTAGATAAACAGGGGAGGGCCTAAGCCCTGCCTGAAATGACTTGACAGATTTTGATGACCCCTCATGGAAGGCCTCAACCTCCCCGGGGAGTGGATGGGGGATGGGATGGAGGAGTTGTTGGGGAGCATGGGAGGATGGGAGGGAGAAGGAAGTGAGATTGATATGTAAAATAAGATTTTTCTAATTTAAATTAATATATATACATATATATATACATATAAAGAAAGACCTTTTCTAGGAATAATGATCAAAAATCAGAACTCAAACAGCACATTCTTCCTTAATATAATTTGAAGACAAGATATGCATGGTAACCTGGAGAAGGGTTACAGGAAGAGATCTCCTAATTGGATTGGGAGCAGGGCGGGAGGGGAAGAGAGAGGGAGATGGGAGAAAGAGAGTGGGAGAAGAGGGGGAGGGAAGAGGACATGGGAGAGCAGGAAGAAAGGAGAGGAGAGGATGAGAGATACCATAATAGAGGGAGCCATTATAAGTTGAAGGAGAGATCTGGCACTAGTGAGATCTTCACAGATCTACAAGAATGACACCAACTGGCATTAAGGCTACCTTAAATGCCCTCCCTTGATAATGAGATTGATGACTATCTTATATGCCATCCTAGAACCCTAATCCAGTGGTGGAAGCAGAGGCAGACACCCACAGCTAAAAACCGAACTGAACTCCTGGAACAAAGAGGAGTGATGAGCAAAGGAATCAAGACCAGGCTGGTGAAACACACAGAGGCAGCTGGCCTAAACAAGGGGGAACACATGGACCCCAGACTGATGACTGAGAGGCCAGCATGGGGCTGATCCAGATGCTGCTCCCACCCCGACCCTTAGCAATCTGTGGGACCTTGGAGAGTAGATCTGCATTTATTCCTGGCATACAAATAGACTCCGGGAGCCCATTCCACATGGAGGGATGCTCTCAGCCTGGACACATGGGGGAGGACCTAGGCCCTGCCCAGGATGATATGACAGACTCTGATAATCCCTCATGGAATCCCTTACCTTCCCTGGAGAGCAGAAGGGGAATGGAGTGGGGTGGGGGGCTGGGAGGATTGGGGGGCCAGAGGAGGAAGGGAGGGAGAGGGAACTGAGAGTAACATGTGCAAAAAGTTAAATAAAAAATAATAATAATTTGAAGACACTAAGTCCCAAATCACCTAAAAGGCTTGTCCCACATGGCACTGCTGGTAAGGGGACTAGACCCCAAATCTCATTTGAACTAACCCAAAACTCTCAGTAGTGGATTACCACTATTAGTTGTATAGCTTCCAGTAACTGAAAGAGCCCAGACATATGCAGCTTATCTTCCACAGTGGAAGTTTGTAAGGATTTGGCTTTACAATTCACCCTTCCATGCTCAATGGCATTCGATCACAAACTCCCTTGCCTTTCTTTCCATTCCCTGTTCTCAGTTGACATGATGAGTTCAGGATTACATACCACATCAGTATGTGAGCTAATCCCACACAAAATGTATGCACACTTCCTGCAAAACTCTATTCTACAACAGTGCATCGAAGGGATTGCGCTGTGGCTACCAAATAAAGCATATCTGTCTTTCCGCTAGTCTTCAACCTGGCGAAGTATACAGCTCGAAGCTACAGCCCCAACCACCTTCTGCTGAACATTTCCAAATCCTACCTTAGGAAGGTGCTAGCACAGAGCAAACGGGTGAGAAAGTCCTGAAAGACCACCCAGGCTCTGCAGCACGCTCTGCACCAGGCCATGCCACTGGGCCCATCACCCTACTTATTTGCTTCTAGAAATTTATACTACTACTTTATTTACATGGGAACAGAAACGAAACTAGAGAAAAGGCTTCCCAGTTGCCATCTAGGAAGCAAAAAGCAATGAATAAAATCGGTGCCTCACTTGTATTATCTATTGTCAAGATATTAGAATACTTTTTTGATGGTCTTAACCAGGATTTTAGATATCAGACTGCCTACTAAAATTTCCTGAGGGAATATTTTTTAACCTTACAATATGCCTTCCTCGCAAAATGTTAGAGGAAGACAAGACAATGTGGGTGAATAATGTTCAATTTTTTGTTTGTTTTTATATAACTGATAGTTAACCTTAATTGTTGCGGCTTCATGAGATCTAGAATCACTGTGGGAAATGGGCCTCCTTTGGCATGCCTGTGGAGAATTATCTTGAGAAGATCAACTGAAATAGGAAGACACAGCCACTGGGAGTGGCAGCAGTCACTGGGCTATGACCCTGGACGGTGTAAAAGGAGAAGCCAGCTGTACCAGCCTCCATCATGCCCCATTCCTTGACTGTGGATGCAGAGTGACCAGCTGCCTCAGCCCTTCCCTACTGCAGCTTCCCCACCATGATGGGCTATAACCATCATGAGTCAAAGTAAATCCTCTCTCTCTTAAGTTCCTTTTGTCAGGGCATTTTACTATAGCAATTGGAAAAGCAACCAAGACAATGAATTAGCATCATTTCCCCTCACAAACACATGTACCAGTGAAGCCAATTACGGTCCTTAACAAAGTATACAAAATGATAATGTTAGTGAAAATCTAAATGTGTATAAAGCACTAAGATGAGATACCCAAATATCCAAAAGAAAGAGCATTCTATTTTTTCTTAGCTACCCTACCTGTGTTCATATCAAATGTCCAAGCAGGTATTCGATCTCCCATGTTTACATTATTTGTGTGTAGAAGAGGAAGAGATACATGAATAGAGCCATCCACCTTCAATTCTTTTCCTCCAGAATATATTTTCACACATATTGCAGCAAGAGGAGTCAACTCAATGTTTTCCAAACCTAAAAGACAGTATAGTTTATTAAGGTTATACTCAAACAGGTTGCATATACATAATAAATTGTTATGGCTCTAAAATTCATTTTTCTCTATTATTTCATCGTTGTTACCCATTCTATTGCATACTCTATTGGCTGTACATTAAATATTTTTAAATATAATTTCGAAATATTTCATAAATAAATATTGGTTAATAATGTAACATTGACCAATCAGTATAAGCTTCAGTTCTATTCTCTCCAAGTCATCTGACTTAAGACACTGGAATCTTTGAAGACCTAATCCCAGGCAAGTGAGATAGCTTGCTGGACAAGCCTAATAATGCGAGTTTGATTCCTGAAGCTCAGCAGAAGTTGGAAAGAAGCTGTCTTCTGGCCTCCACAGGCATGCTGCATCGAGTATACACACTCTACATCCTAAGTGCTAACCCTAACCTTTCAGTTTTAAAAAAACAAAACACAAATAGACTCCCAGGGCTCTAGAACTGAGTAAGTCTAATAGGGGGAAATGATTAAATAACCAAAGTAGAACGCAGACCACTGCAGCCCCTGTAACTAGGTGAGCTTGGAGTCGATGGGTCCACTCAAGTCCCATTTGGAGACAAATGTCTTCCCACAAAATGTACGTCATCCAGCCCACACAAAACATACATAGCCTCATGATTAATTTTGAAAAGCTCAAACTGTCTCTTAACTTCAGAAAAAGTTGTCTACTACAGTGAAGTTTTGTCATGTATAGTAAAATGAATTAGAATGTACGGGGGTGGGGGTGGAGATAAAAGAGCTAGGGGGAGAAGACACTTTTTCTTTGGGTTCTGCTGTGTCCCAGAGAACAGCGTGCGGGCCTTTGGTTCTCGGATTTCTTGGCTTCTCACATAAGTGATTTGTCCCTCAATAAAATATCATAGGACATCCCTATTTTGTGTAGTTTAATACTTCCCCATTACAGTAAAAACCTAAACCTTTTATAAAATTTTATGCACATATAGCTAACAAGCGTACTTAAAAGCTTGGCATATATTGGATTTTGGCTTATTATCTACAAAATGCAAATGCTACCAGCTGCACATGGTTTTTATATAAAATCTAGACCTTTGGTGCATGGATGATATATCAAACTCAGTAAGCACCCGCGACCGGTGGCCCCAGACTGGACAAAGCAGAGAAGTCCCCTTACAAGACTCAACATGTTTAAAGCAGGGATTTTGAGAGGACGCTCATTGTGACCCTGCCCATGTCTCGTATCTTCCAGCACAACCTGAGCTCACCTGTGGCAGCCAGTTTGTAGCATTCAAGTAAATGCCTTTATTTTGCACATCCTCTAACTTACATCTAGAAAAACTCTGTAAGATGTCTTAGACCAACTTCCTCAAGAAGCAGGCTTTGGATAGTGTGATCAAGAGCTGGCCAGGGAAGTGGTCCCCAGAAACAACCACTGATGGAGTAGAAACTTAATACACAAGGAAAGACGCCAACAGGGGACATAGCCAAAGTCAGGACATAGGAACATTAATGTGTCAACACTTGTATGCCCCATGTAAGGACAAAACCTGCTTCATAAACCAGGCAGTGCCCTCAGACAGTGACTTCTGTGTGCAGTAGAGAACAGGCTTGTGACAGAAGATGGGTTTCATCTGGCCACAACTATTTATAATTTATAATATATATCATTTCTATAATATAATCTCCTTTCTAGATGTACCCAAATGAACCAAAACTTTGACACAACTAAAATATTCAAAATTATAATTTTCTGAAGTAATTTTAAACAGTGGAGTTTCAGTTAGATTTATAAAGAATAGCAGAAACGGTGTGGCAAATGTGATTGTGTTTTTAATTTTGTTTGAAAAGCAAAGCTCCATTCACCCCTTAACTTTTAAATCATAAGAGCCTAACACCAGAGCTGTGGACTGTGGACTAGTTTCTTTCTTAGCTAAGATAGATCAAGTAGAAATTATGATAGCTTGCTCAGCTCTGTCAAGGTGATAAACGTAACTTCAAGATCATAGCACACTTTCTCTGGCTATTTAACTGACACTTCTCATTAGTTTGCTAAGACTGACTGCATAGAAAATCAAACTGGGATATGTATTTAAGTAAAAGTTTCTAAATATATTATTTTTCAAAGTTTTATAACAATCATAACTTTCTATATTTTGCTTACTTTACTTCAAAAGAATTTAATGAAATAAAATGAAAGGATATTTTGATTAAGTTGGCATAGTATTTGCCAAGGGCAATGATACAATTATTTCTTTTTGTTTTGTTTGTCTGTTTATTTGTTTTTGGAGACGGGGTTTCTCTGTGTAACAGCCCTGGCAGCCCTAGAACTTGCTTTGAACTCACAGAGATCTGCCTGCTTCTGTCTCCTAAGTGATGGAATTAAAGGTGTGGGCCACCATACCTGGCTTATGTATTTTTTGGATGAAAAGATACTACTTATAAACAATTTAATACCAGATATTTTTAAAGCAACATGTATTTTCCAAAGCTTTAATGAAAATCAAAATGTAATATTATGTACATAAATAAATGTTATTTGATGTAATATTTTGTGATTTTTTTAGAAACATGATTACATACTTAAAAATTAGGAAATACCTGGTTTGTTAAGAGTGATTCCAGTTGTATACAGAAAATTGTCCGCCTTTAAAAACTGCTGTAGAACTGTTAGATAGCCAGTCACGTTGCTAATATGATGGTTGTCAGGAAGTTTAATGAAGGCTTTTGAGAACTGAACACTTGGTTGAGATTTGGCATCTGGACAAAGGAAATCCCATTAACAAATGAACAAAATAATATGCATATTAAAAATGGCCTCACTGCTCAGGACGTTTTCTTCTACAGGATGTGGTTATAACGATTTCTGAGTGTCACCAATATCTCACATAATTACTTTAAACTCATAACTAAGAAGCTTCCTTTTCTATATTTATATAACGAGTACTTTTATTCCACAATAGTATCAATCTGTGAACCACAAATGAAACTTGAGTGTAAAGCAGAAATTGCGGGGAAATGTAAAGTTCTAGAACACACAAAGGTAACATACACCATTCATATTACATGTACTTCTTTTAGATCACAAAGCACTTCCAGACAAGAAATGCGTGACGCTGCCCAGAATTTCTTCATAGCTCTTTCAGATCTCACTTTAAGGAGCCATACATTGACCATCCTCAGCCTGCATAGTTCTACAGCAGGGGTGATGTTGATGGTGTGTGTCAGAAGGGGCCAAGCCCAATCAAGCATCTTGTCCATCCTTAACAATGGGTCTAATCCCAAGCACAACTAACGAGCTATGTGCTTGCTTGGAAGCAAAATGGAAGGCTTGTTTTGTCTCCCACAGGGTCCCATCTTGTAACCCAAAATGAGAGCTTGTTTGAAAATGGAGGCAGCGTTCTCAGGGTAGAATTGAGAAATGGAGAAAGGAAAAACTATTTTTTCAGTTACTCCAACTTGACACCTTCAGATTAAGTATTGCCTGAAGTTGACCTTGCTTTGTAAAAGATACATGGCTGCTTTGGAGTTCTGCTAGCTGAGGATAGGTTTTCAGCAACTTTAAATAATAACTCCCCTTTAGGACATCCAGCCACATACTAAAATTGGTAGGTTTCTCAATCAGATAGGCACAAAATAATTTTAAAGTCTTCTAAATGCCAGATTCCAGGCGTATACATATTACCTCATTTCAGTGGTGTTGAATTGACTGTCTTCAGATGTTTATCAACTGAAAACTAAGTGACATATTGATATGTCTATAACCAACACAATTTAACAAGCCAAGGATAAATTCCAAAATTAAAATTGTAAGTTATCAGATACATTACCTTTGGCCTTGGACTTTAATATGATCACTAATAAAGGTAGAAGAAATCTTTTAAGTTGTTAGGATGAAAAATGTATCAAATTTTAAAATTTGTGTGATAATAAAAGAATAATGTCAGATGTTTCTTAAAATCAGTTTCTAGGATTTTTGCATAAAGGGAGAAAAATGATGTCTATAAAACACTGGAGAGAAACAGCACAGCTATATCTTCATTATTATTTGGTTAAGATATTTGAGGAAACACTGTGGTATTTTCAGATCACTCAAACTATTATCTAATACATTCTCTTTTAAAATATGTAACTTTTATATATGAAGATATCACAATGAAATATGCTATTTTGTATGTTAACCTAAATAATAAAATTTTTTAAATGTGGTTTAATAATGCTGAATATACAAATAAATTTCTTACAAGTAAAAATAAGCATCCTATATAAATCACCTGCGTTTCCTAAGAAAAGTTTTCATTTTTTCTATTCCTGTCCACAAACACATTCACATATACCGAACACACCTCTATTCATACACCAAATGCTTTCTTGATGAAGTATTATATGAGTGTTAAGGAAAGACGTGGGTACTTTATGGAGATATGTAACAACATCAAAACATCAGTACCTAGTTTCATTAAAGCCCCAGCGGCATGAAACCAGGACCTCTGTAGCCATGGGGCCACACAAAACTCATCGTAGTCTTCCACATGCTAGCAAAATGAGTACCAAATGCTCTAACAAATAGGCAGAGGGTCTAAAGCCCTGCTTAGTGAGTCACTCCAAGATTAATCAAGCCCAAGTTCAAGTTCTAATGAGTACTATAAGGTGTTCCTATTTAGTACTTCAGAGATGCTTAGATTAGCTTTGAAATGTGAATTTTCACAAGCAATTCTTTAGGCCATGCCTCTCTTGGTTGACTCATTCATGAGGATTTCCATTATATTAGCACTGAACATTAATTGACCAATACAAATCAAATAGTTGTAATTCATGAAGGCATTATGTATTATGTATCAAAAGAGAAGCAGAATGTCTAGTTTTCTCTTAAGCATCAATTAAGGGCACATGGAGGTAAAGAAAAGCTTCAAGTGTCATCTTCACAGTTAGTAAAGCAGGGAAGAAACCGCCTGAACAAACACCCCCAAATGAGGCTTTTTGCCGTCTTTCTTGTGGACATACAAGTAGCAAGTTCCACCAATGAGGGCTGCCTAGAAGATGGGTACCTCCCAGTCATAGGCCTCTCCTGCATTAGCAGCCAGATTCACACTGGAGGCACAGGAGGAGATAGCATCAGGGAGCCCAGAGGTCTGGGAAACATGTCTGTCCTTGTCAGATTCACCAGTCATACAATCCCCACTGAGAGATGAGACAGTGAGGACAGACAGCAGTTTCTACTATTTCCTCACGTCACAGATTCCCAGGCTCAGTGGATCCTGAAGATAATTATTTTTAATACCCAAAAATATAATTTTATAGTAAGATAGGAACTGGTACAGATCAACTTACCATCAATACCCAACTTGGACTTTTGCCAAGTTATAATGACTGCTGATTCTCTTATAAATAAGACATTCTAGGAACTTCCTTAGTAAAAACGTAGTAGACTTACCAGCTAATTTTCCGGTAATCAAAACAGTGTCTTCAAAGAGCCATATATTTGCTTGGCTTTGCGGGAATAGTGAAAGTGTAACTGAAGAATATACTGTGAAATAGGATAATACAATCAAAATATTTAACAAAGGGGAAACTGACGCAGGCATAATTCAGTCACAGTATGCCTCAAAAGCTTCTTGATATACCCAAAGGACTCTACATCTTACTAGAGAGACACTTGCACATCCATGTTCATTGCGACTCTATTCATAATAGCCAGAAATTGGAAATAGCTTACATGCCCATCAACTGATGAATGGATAATGAAAAAGTGGTACATTTACACAATGGAATATTACTCAGCCGTTAAGGAACATGAACTCTGCAGGTTAATTGATGGAGAAAGCTAGAAACAATCATCCCGAGTAAGGTAACCCAGCGCCCAAAAGACAAATATTGTATGTTTTCTCACACATATGGATGTTAGCTTTAAAGCTTTAAATATGTGTGTGTTTCAATTAAAACAATCACAGAGGCTAGGTACCTACTAAGGTCCATGGCAGAGGATGGGACCTTCCAAGGAAAGGGATATAATGTCATTATAAATAAATAACGGGGAAACTAGAATAAGAGAATTAAGTGGAGAGGGGTAGGAAAACAGAGTAAAGAAGGGGACACTGGGAGGGACATTAGCAGTAAAGGCCATTTCAAAGTTGTATGGAAACCTACTACTCTAGAAGCTTCCTAAAATACATACAAATTTTCAAGAAATTTCAGTTAATTCATCATATAATGGGAAAGACAATGCTCTACCTAGACATCTAATGCCACTAAGTAAATCACACAGTGCCAGGAATGGGTTACATCTTGTTGAGTCATTGGACAAACAGGTCCCTTAGATCCCCACCCTCAAACATCACAGATAATTGCCAAGGTTACTGGTTACACTCACATCCTAATGGTAAAGACCCTATTGCTGAAGACACCACATACTTATATCATTGAACATGTAGAAACTGATCCATGACCAACTGGAAGCTTCACCCCTACTGACTATCATCCATGGTGCTGGAAAGTACTCTACACACTACCAGAGGAGACATGTAATCATCAGTATCACCCAGCCGCAAACCCTGAGGCCTACAGCAGTGACTTGTCTGGAAGACAGACAGGTATAATAGTGGCACAAGTATTATGGGACTAGCTAACCACTTTATTAAACTTATTACTCACTCCGTGGAATGGAGCCCATACATGGCATTACTAAAGTGACCAAGAACTATGTCATGGGCTATGAGAGAAACTTAGTGTGATCATTCTGCTAATGGGCATAGCAATAAAATGACTGCTAATGATATACTGCTACACACATAAATCAGTGCCTCATTCAACCTTCATCAGAGAAGTTTCCTTGCAGGAAAGGATAATTGGTGCAGGCATCCACAACTGGGCAATGCCCAAGCCTCCATGGAAGATAAAGTGCTTTCATGATTGCTGTCATCCCAATATTGCTGTGTCAACCTAAATTTCGCCACCAAAGAAAGCTGTGGTGTTAAAATGTGGATCTTTTGGAGTAATTAAGAGAACAGAGTCTTCGTCAACTGAATTAGATTGCCTTCAAAAACATAACACCAAAGACTCTTTCTCCCATGTGAGAACAAAGTGAAAAGTTGACATCTATAAAATGGAAAGTAGTTACATAAATCAGCAAGCAGGCCTTCACCAGACAATAAACCCATTGTCATTTCAACCTTGGTCTTCCTCCCCTTCAGAAGTGTGTTAAGTATCTCTGTTGTTTACAAGCTACCTCGTTTTTGGTGTTTTGTTTTGGCATTCCAAATAGACAAAGACTGTTTTCTACAAATTTTCCTTTCCTTCTAAATATATACAGGATTCTTGTAGGCATTCTCATTTTCAGCTCAACAGATTCTCCTCCAGCAAAGGGAGAAATCATTTACATTTGTGAGTGGAAAATACCACTGAAGTACTTACTTGGCATCCTTCCAGTTTTCCAAGGCAGAGCCGTCAAGACATAGCCATCTTTGTAAGCAATGATGGTTAAGCTGAGTCCTAATTGGTAGGGTACTTTTATCAATACTGCTCCATTGTTTCTAGTTATCGTAGAATTGGTCTTCGTGTAGTTAACAAATACCTCCACAACTGCTTGACTCAGGTACTGGCGACTGATGATGTCATTCACCTGGACTTTTAGCATAAATACAGACACTGGAAGAAAAAAAAATAAAGCCAGAAATTGAGTCAGGTCAAACCCTAGAATGTACAGCATTGCACATTAAAATGCCACTCAATACTTCTGAAGAACAAGACAAAGCTTTTTTTAAATGTAGGAGGTATATATTAATGGCTGTACAAAAAGGTTAAAAAAAAACATTCCAACCAATTCAATGTTCCTTGTAAAACCAAATAAAGTAGAATATTTATTATTAGTAAGTCACATTATTATTATAATTTTGTCATTTAAAAGGATAGCAGTGAACGTCTCTTGAGGAAAACATATTTTTACTTTGCCTTCAGCTTAGAGAATTTTAACACTAATTGAATACACCCATTCATAGAAACCCCTTTATTTTCTGATGGCTAGAAGGCAGGGAATGCGTTATTGTTTTAACTACATGAAATATCACACAGAAGCCTTTCTCCAAAATTTAAAAGCCACTCTTCCTTGCCCACGTAAGATGCTGCACTAATCTAAAGACAATGAGAATTAAAACCAGCTCTACTGGACCCTCTGGTCTTATTTCTCACATGCAGACCCTGACTGTATGTTCACTGGGGTTTGCCCTTCATGATTTCTGGCAAAAGCAAAGAACATGCACCATGGAGATGCCTTTGAGAGAAAGTACCACAGCACCGTGTAAGTGGGCTCTGGAGTGAGTTAAGACCCACTATTCTATTCCTTAGACACGTGACCACAGGTCTGTCACCCTTAAGTCCAAATGCTTCTCTGGAACACTGGGCGAATGGCCATTGCTTAAGGAAGCAACATGAAGTTAATGCAAAGACGTTTGGTTGTTAGCATGATTAATAGTAATAATTTTTTTCTAAAGTTGGAAAACCATTAAGGACTGATAATGATGCTCTGTATTTGCGAAAACAAACCCATTTTATCAAGAAAAGCATGTGAGGTAAAAAGAGAAATCCTACTTCAAGTTGACTAAGTCACAGTACTGCTAACAAATCACTGTCAGACCTGTTTACTCCAATTTTGTTAACCACACCCAAATTGGTTTTGGATCACTTTAAATATAAATAGAACTAATTAACAATCACTCCATCCTTGGGAATGTGCATTTTAGCACACCGGAAAACAAAATAGTTCTGATGCACTCCAGAGCCTAAAGATGAGGTCAAATGTCACATGACTATATCTCAAAGAATACGTGATTGCAGTCATTATTGAGAACTTTAATTCTTAATCTGACTAAAAAGAAAAAAATCATGCCCCTGACCCTGTGTGCATGCATACACATATACATACACCTCAAGTCATGGCTTCGAACTTTTAAAAAATTATATTTTGGAGTGATGAGCAAAGGAGTCAAGACTGGACTGGTGAAACCCACAGATACAGCTGACCTGAATAAGGGGGAGCTCTTGAACCCCAGACTGATGGCTGAGAGGTCAGCATGGGACTTATCCAGACCCCCTAAATTTGGGTGTCAGTGAGGAGGCCTCAGCAATCTATGGGGCCTTGGGTAGTAGATCAGTATTTATCCCTGACATACAAATGGACTTTGGGAGACCATTCCACATGGAGGGATGTTCTCTCAGCCTGGACACATGGGGGAGGGCCTGGGCCCTGCCCTGGATGACATGACAGACTTTGGAGATCCCCTATGTAGGACCTCACCCTCCGAGTGGAGTTGGGATTGGGTTGTGGGGGGTGGGGCGGGTGAGGAGGGGACGGAGAGGGAGCTGGGAATTGACATGTGAAGCAAGCTTGTTCCTAACTTAAATAAAAAATAAATAATTACAAAAAAGTATTTTTAATATTATAATTTGATTACATTATTATTTCTGCGTTCCCTTTCCTCCCTCTAAACCTTCAAATATTCCCTTCCTCTCTTTCAACTTCATGGCCCTTTTTCCATCAACTGTAGTTACACACACCACATACACACAAACACAAACACCCACACACACAAAGTATGCATTGTGTATATTCCCAAGCACAACCCACTCTGTATAATGTTACTTGTATATATTTTCAGGGATAACTATTTGGTATTAAATAACCAATCAGTGTGCCTTTTCCTAGGGAAGACTAATTCTTCCCACTTGCAGCATTATTTAGTTGTCTGTAGTTCTTTGAGGTTTGAGACCCTCTGGGCTAATGCCTTTCAGCTTAATGGGAGCTATAACTGTTGCATAAGCAAAATATTGTAATGAACACGACACAATGGATTTCTATGCTAAATGTGGTTTGATGGGTCCAGTCAATACAAAAAAAAATCTAAGTGGAGAACTAGAAGGGACCAGCAGCTGCTCCTCAGTCAGTCGCCTCAGCCACTGGAGTCAAACCTCCAGTACCGTAAAGAGGAAATGAAGACACAGAGGCTAGCAGCCCTAGAACTGAACTATATTAGAAAACCTATGAGTTCTAAGCAGGGTGATTTCAGCACTGTCCCCAAATTTCCTTTCAGACTATGAGCATCTCCATAATCCCTCCTATGAGCTCCCTGCACTGATTATAGCCAGAGGTTGTGTTGCTTGTCTTTGAAACACAAACCTTAAATGCTACAGGGTACAAGTACAAATATGTGTGCTTAGTTGATATGCCACTCTATTTTGTAAAAGAGAAAGTAAAGGAAAAAAGAATAAAAATAAATACCAAAAAAAGGAAAGAGAGAAAGATAAATCAAAACCTGGGTAAAACAAAAAGTAGCAACAAAATGCTTAATTCTTTCCAGACTGTACTATGAAATAAAGAGGGTTTTGTTAATTCATGCGCTTCAAATATCAGTTTAAAAAAATCTCAGAGCTTTTCGATTAAAAAAAAAAACAGACCCAATTGGGGGGGTGGGTAGAATCCTTAAGGAAATTCACGTAATAATTGAAAATTCCATTTGCTCTATGTTTATGAAAGAACAGAGAACAAAATAAAGAGCACTGGCTCTAGATGACCCAAAGCTGGGTTCGATTGGTAAACTGATTTAAAACAATCTCTTCCCTAGAATGTGCTACAAATGTGATCAGAAAACATACTTGGGGTTGGGGGAGATTATCAGCACTACAGTGTCGCTCCCTGGTGACAGCCCTGTAGCTACACTTTCAATCTCCTAATAAGCATAGGGCACAAGGAGGCCTGGCTAGCAGACTCTTCTCTAGTCCAACTTGGAAAAACACTAGACATCTTTGCTCTTGTAGTTGTTTCCTCCCTGACTCCACCTGATGAAGCTGGCATCCTAAACAGGAGCATTTTCTGATAAACACACACACACACACACACTGGGTTCATTGCTGGAACTACATGTTATCCTATTCAGCAAGCCTACAAGATATCTCCTAATGTTAAGGCAAGGAGAAATAAAGCCAGTAAGTCCCTCTGATACCACCTCCCATGCTCTTTGTCCTGCATTATCCCTTAGCTATGACCCTTATCACATGTATTGGTCTATTTCTTCCCCAACAATCCTTAGAGGCAAGCACTCATTTATTACCTCTGGGTCTCTTTCCCCAATCATTGAACATGGCTTGTCTTTCACCCAGTAAACAGCAAAGTATTTTGAAAAGAAAAAGGAGCAACACATAGGCTGAAAGCTTGAAAGTCTGGTCAAGACAATTTAAAAGGCATAAGTTATAAAGAATTGCCTGTTCATGACTTAATGAGAATGCTCTGACTTCTACAGGGCAGCTGATGAAGCAGGCAGTGTTGGCAGCCACAAGCACTACACATCCACTGCAACCCCCTTCCCCATTCTCTCTACCAACAAAACACTTTGTCATTACATGAAGCAGATCTCATGATTAAATATATATAATTTTCAACCAGCAATATAATTGTCTCCATGATCTACCTACTTTTCTCCATTGTTTAGTCAGCTTTCTGTAAGCATATTATTTTCTCTGTCACTTAATTATAATCATTATTTCATGGTCACATAATCTTCTTTTCAATATTTCACCATTGGTTTAAAAATGGTCCAATAACAAATGATTTCAACTGCACTAAGAAACATATAATTTAAATGCTGAAAAAAAACTAAAATAAAACACATATTGATGAGCTAGGTCCTGTGGTTACTGAGAAGCACTTAGTATGTGTATTAAGTGGTGTGAACCACCAAAATTCAATGAATATTAAATTAGCATAAAGAAACATCCTTTAAGACAACTGGTTCCTATTCTGTAGGGTGAGTAAGTAAAGTTCTGGAAAGAGTTTTTAAAAATACTTATAGGTATATAATTGGGTGACACCAACATCTTGATGTGGGATGGGTGAAAAAATTACAATCCTTAATCTTCCTTAGAGAGTCTGGCAACATCTCATTGTGTTGTACCCAATATGTAGGTTACAACTGTGCGAAGATGACACCACTGAAGACCCAGATTTCTCTGGTGTAAAAGCCAGCCTACATTTCCCCCAGCATGCTGGAAGCAGCTGCAATAATTTCATTTACTAGACTGCAACACCTTCCTAGAAATATAATGCCAAAATAGAAGCCTTTATAAGCTGAGCAGTACATGCTTTAAGGAAATAAATCCAAAAGACTTTAAGAGAATATGTAATCCTCAGAGAAAATTAGGCAGCAATGAGGGGCATAGAAATACAGTTTTAAAGATGTTTGGTATGAGTACGGACAAATGTTTACCACTATGAATTCATTCAGCGAATGCTCAGTAACTGCCAATTTCAGGTCACATCAGCACCGGGGCAGTGTTGGGGATGAACACATTAATAGAGCCTTGAGGAAGGTTAGCTAGAGGGGAAACGGCATGTGGTGGGGGGAAGAGACTGCAGAATTTCTGATGACAGCAGAATTCAAAATGATACTGAAACAGACAAAAGCACTTTCTGTGGTACCTAAAGTAATGTTCGATGAAATTAAACAGAAGTTACTTCAGAGCTAATATGCTAAAAAAATCCTATAAAAAACCAAGATATGGATTCAATATCTACTTTGGAATCAATTCACACTGGTATTTTAAATAAGGGGCATTTTGATATTTTGAGTTTAGAGAGCCTAAGGGTCTGGCCAACCATT